TCCATGTATCCCCGACTGATCATCTGCGCCGTCAAGCGATCGAGTTTCCATTGTTGCACATCTTCGAGCGTTCGGGACTGCAATTCGCACAGCGACATGGAGGCGGCAGGTAGGATGGTTCTCCAAAGGCTGATTCGACGTTCTATATGCAAGTCAGAATTCTCTTGGCAGAATGGTATCAAGCCCCGACCATGGCACTCAGGCCATGCGACAGACTCATGATCTTCGTGTAGCACTAGATTGCGCATTGCTAGTCGCGTTTCAGCCGGCATAGATTCCAGGAAGTGGATGGCTGCAGTCGCTGCCGAGAACCTATATTGTTCTTGATCCCAATATAGCCACGGTTTGGAGTAACTGGCCTCGACGGATACAGGTTCTATGAGTTCGACCATGTCGGAAATGTCGTCCTCACTTGGTAACATCCATGGTGGATGACTGTGCGCTACCACAAGCACCGGATCGGGACTTGGCGTGTGGGCGGTCCCCTTCCAATGTGACTCTCGACTAACGGCGTCTTCAAAATCGGGTTTTGCGGCAACGGCTTCCAATGTGGACGCGATGAACTGTCGGGTTTGTGACGGAATCTCCTTCCATTCATCGACATTACCACTGATTCCAGTGCGTCCAAAATACTGCATTGTTTGGATGGTGGGCAGGAACGCCGAATGGTGTTTTGCCACGTAGTCGCATATTGCGCTATCGATGAGGCCAGATAGCGGAGCGTGCCATGTCAGATATCCTGCCTTGAGTTGGCTGGTGATTATCTGGATCGCGTTGAATCGGCCAGCCCGTTGGCGGAGGTTTTCGTCGCACACGGTCGAGAAGTTGATCGGATTCAGGCTCAGACCAAGGCCACGGGTCTCAGCTGCCACCTGACGGCATGTAAGCCTGAGGTTAAAGTCAATGACCTCGGCCTGCGCTGTAAGCAGCTTGTTAGTTTTGTGGTTGTAATGGTACCCATCTTCAAGCGTGAAGCAGTCTTCGTAAATTTTATCGCGCAGTTCGCGGGGAAGCCTGAGAAAGCCTTGCGGTTTGGCCATGTCGTTATTGAGCAAGCGGTCCATGGGGAGAAAAAAGGATGTGAGGACGAAATATGAGTCGAGGGCGACAAAGCTGCGACTTTGTACCTGGGCGGCGGTAGGCAACGCTCTCTGCACGTGACTTTGAAGGCGCAGACTTGCTCTTTGCGGTAGAAAGTGCGGATACTTCGTACCTATGGTACTAGGAATGGACCTATGGCCGCAGTCTTATTCTCATACTCCCAGGCGGTAGCGGAGGAGGTGCAGCGACTAACAGTTCGGGAAACACAACCCGGGAACCGAAAAAAGGCAGTAGCTCGCACCAATGATATTATGCCCCAAAGCTTCCGGAGCCTCACGTGGTAGCAGATACGCGGTAGTTCTGGAAAACCGCCTTCGTCGATTTTGCTGGCGCGGCCTCAAAGAAAGAGAGGCATTGAACCGTCATCGAGGAGACGGATTGCGACAATCGCCGGTTCATGGAGTGCCAAGACGCTAGCCACCGAGGTAGCTAGCTCAGGATGACCCCTATATTCGCGCGTCGCGATCGCGCCGGATGGCCGCCACCTATGAAAAACAAAGTTAAGAAGGCTATATTGCCTTGACATTTCACAAAAACCTATTTTAAAACCGTTGTAGGCTGCAAGACACCTATTGACTCTCGCCCTCAAAGGGATGCCGCGATCGCTTTCCGGTGACCCACGTTCGAGAGCTTTCCAAGGTTGTATTCTTGACATTCGTGACAATCAGTTCACGGCAGTCATGCAAGGTCTTTCTGCTAAAAGTCACTGACATTCAGCATTTGGATGCGGTCTCGTGGCTGGTGAGTTACACGAAGACGTCTATTGCAGTACTAACACTAATGGTTTGACGCCCCGTTCTTGTATATCATCAGCGATATTACTCAAATTCGCCCTCTACGTATTGGGTAGTCATCCTATACATTACCACAGCTTGCGATTGTCACCTAAAAACCAAATGAATGCGGAATGAGATGCTCGCGCCTTTTTGCGCAATGCTGTCACCCACGAGGCCCGAACCTACACTCCAACGACCTCCTTTGTATGTTTAGCGAAGCTCTCGGTCGCTGATAAGTTCACACAGATCCCACCGAGGCAAAACCCCATCTTCATGGCGCCTGAGCATCAAAGGTACGAGGTTCGTGCTTACTCCATTGCTCCTCCCATTCCTTCATTGACCATCCCTGAGCAGCCTGTCTTATGGAAGACGAGTAATCGAAACTAGCGAGACTGAAGTTACAGCTCACGATGGACGTATCGTCAGCAATCGCAGCGAGAGCTTCCGGAAATCCTCTCATCTGGTAGCCGGCGTTGCGCCTCGTTTCGAACCAGCTCATCTTGTTGTGATGATCTGCGCGATGCTCTTCGAATACCGTCTGCCATGCAGCATCTCGTTGCACGATCTTGAACACTTCGGCGCTCCTCGCAGGTATTGGCTGCCCGTTGAACACCAACTTGAAGCATTGAGGTGGCATGCCTAGATCGTCAAGGGCAAGCGCCTCCATGATCCATGGTGCTAAGCACGATCTGGTGATATACTTAGCACGCAGCGGACGCAAACGACCTTGGCCACAATAAAAGCCGTTCATTCTGGAAGCACCGGCAGGAAGCGCGTTTCTCCACAAATCCACCCGTCGTTCTATTCGAAGTGCTCCATTCTCTTGACAGTAGGGAAGCAAGCCTTGGACATGGCACTCGGGCCAAGCAGCAGCTACGTGGTTCTCATCCAAGAGCACGCGACGAAAGCGGCATCGTATAGATGCAGGCATTGACGAGAAGAAGCGGATTGCGGCCGATGCCGCGGAGAAACTGTATTTAGTTCGTTGCAGGCTTTGGAGAAGGTGTAAGTTATGCTGCAGACTGCGCCTGATATCAGCTATCTCGTTGCTGTCCGGTATAAGCCAAGGTGAATGTTGCAGTGAGACAACCTCAATGGTCTTGTGGTTCGAGCCTTCCATGTTCCAATCAGCATCTTCAAGAAGGGCCTCTAAAACCCGTATGACGAATCGGCGATAGAGCGACGGAGCTTCACCCCAGGAGTCATCGGCAAGACCATCGACACTGATCACTCCCATGCCGCGAAGTTGTCTGATGACGGGTAGGAATTGTGGAAAGTCTGCCTCCAATTTGTTGCAGCTGTCTTGGTCGATGCATCCACGGAACGCTCGTAGTAGGCGTGACCTGCTGCCTTCATCCCTAAGCTGCATGTAGTGATACTGTCCTGCATGATCTGATGTAGCTTCGTTGTAAAATGTAGAGAACTTGACGGTGTTGAGTGTGAATATGAGGCCGTGCATTTCTGCAGCAGCAAATTTGCAGGTATACAAAAACTCAAGGTCGATGAGAGTGCCATCCATCTCGGTCAGTCTGTTCGTCTCATACCGGTAATGATACCCGCCCGGAGCTGTAAGGTAGTAGCCATACACTAGATTGCGCAGTTCGGAGGGAAGTGAGAACAGTTTGGACTGCGACTGTCGGTTGGGGACGGAAACGTCATCCATCGTACGCGGCGGACTGGGTATGGGGTGCCGCGGTATTGAGAGATGTAATGCAGGGTATCTGGGTACTCTTGAGGGTTGTATTTGCGAAGTTTAAAGGAAAAGATTTTTGAGGGTTCGTGTCAATTGGTAGGAGAATGCTTTAAGTAGGTAGTACCTTCCTCATCTTTGGGAAGGCAATCCATGGTACTGCGGTGACGCGACGCCGAGCGACTCACAACTTCCGAAATCCATATGTACCCATCCAATCAGGTCCTCTCGAAAAGAGAAGTATCGTCCACACAAGAGCTTGGGAAGGGAACGACCAGTCACGTGAGTCGCAGCCTAGGTAGTGCATGATCTCACCAACGAAGTAATGTACCCTCATCCTAAACACCACACTGCAATCGAGCGAAGAGACCCAATACATAGGTATACACCTACAACAAGAACGTAAAGTATTCACAATACGCTATGTACGTAGATCGCGCTCAAGCCTTTCCAGCAAACGGGTTCATCCTGGTCGCATCCCGGGTAGCGGTCAGCTCCAAGCCGGGACAATTAAACCTTAGCATCGCCTATGTAAGCGCCGACGCTGATAGTAGCTTTGAGATCTGAATTGCGCGATTCAGATATTCCATGCTTACACGCGTACGCTCCACAAGAGCGGGTTTGTAAATGCGATGTACGATGTGCGATTACTCAACCATGTGTGTACCTGGATATAGAGCCCGGGTCGCTCGGCCATCATCGTGGACCACGTGGGAACGTACAACGCTTAGACGCCTTTCCTGGGTGTTAACGTCTAGCTCGAGCTAATTGCTATGTCGATGCACATATCATAAGCTATAGGTTGGGAAGTTTAGGGCCGGCTTACTTGCAAGTCAACTATTCTTTTACTCACCCTCTTCGTCCAAAGCCCACGTTGAAGACGCGGATATCCAATCCTCCATCCTCTATCAAACGATACGCCAGCTTCAACGATGAGCCTAAGACTTTTTCTCATAGCACGCGCACTGGCTGCTCTCTCCATTCTAACATCATCCGCCTCCGCACTCCCCTTTGGTGTACAAATCTACTCGTGTACAACACCCGGAGTCATCGCCCCCGCTTTCGACGACGGACCAGGGGTTTACTCCGCAGACATCCTCGACCGGTATTATTCCATCCCTTCAGACCGCATGGTCTGGCGTGCATGTCTCGCGCTGACATCATGGTTAGGATGGAAGTCGCGGGCTTCAAAGCGACATGGTTCATCAACGGCGAGAACAGGGGCACCATATACGATCACAATGCGACGCTGCGCCGGATGGTTGATATGGGGCATCAAATTGGGTCGCATACGTAAGAAACCACCTTATCATACCTCTTCACTCCACCAACCGGCCACTCATGCCCAGAAAAACACACGACTAATCGAGAGTTAATCTAGATGGAGCCACGTGGACCTCTCCGCGCTCTCCCCCACTGCCATACGCAGCGAAATGATCAAACTCGAAGACGCCATGATGGATATCCTGGGCTTTTTCCCGTACTACATGCGCCCGCCCTTGCTCTCTGTGAACAGCCAGGCGCTCAGTGTGCTGAAAGAACTGGAATACCATGTCATTATCGGGGATCTGAATACGAAAGACTGGAAGTATCAAGCCAAGGATACGGTTGGTGAGGCCAAGCAGCTTTTTGTGGAGGGGCTGGAGAAGGGGTATAGTATTGTTGAGGCGCATGACCAGGAACTTTGGACGCAGGGCGAGCTGATTGATTATATGATTGCTGTTGTGCAGGAGAGGGGTATAAGAAGTAAGTCGTCAATTCCACCCTCATGCATCTGCAAATGCCCTTTGGCTGATGGTAATCCTGTAGCCGTAACCGTCGCGGAATGTCTCGGCGAACCCTCACCTTCACAATGGTACCGTACCGCCCGCCTCCCATACCCCCTCACAAGATGTGAGTTGAGCTGCCAAACACCCTTCGCAAAGTGCGACACCACCGACGACACTATTCCATGGGAGAGAATTACACCCGATCTGACGTGCGGGAATAAGGCAAAGGGAAAGGGGAAGGGCTATCTTTGTAGGACGGGACAATGTTGTAGTAAGCATGGGAATTGTGGTATTACGGAAGATTATTGCGCGGTAGACAGAGGATGTCAAGAGGAGTTTGGTGTTTGTAGAGGTTGAGAAAACATCGTTGGATAGCGTTCATCTGAACGCACGGTCTTCACCTGCATCCTCGAGCCCGCTGGCTGGAGGGCTTTGATAGCCGGAGGGTGATTCAGGGAGTTGTCGGATCCAGCCGTCAATATCCCGAGCGGGCACGCCATCCGCATCATCGTCGCCGTCGTCGTTGTCATCGAAAGCTTCATCGCGCCAACCAGCCGCGCCAGACATCGCGAGGATACGCTGAAGGTGCCACTGCAAAACGAGCAGGCCTGCAGCCTACATCAACGTAGAAACCTGCAAAGTGGGTGACCTAACGTCGATGTAGGTTCCAGGCCTGCTCGTCACTCGGTCCGGGCGCTTTTCTCTAAACGCGCTCCATGGATAAATGTGGGCCTAAAGATGGGTGTACGAAGTCAGTTGTTGTCTCACATACAATTCGTACAGGGATTTTACTAACCGCTTCTGCACCCTTTGTCCTTGATACGGCACAAAGGTTGCCGTCTCGATCTTTACAGCGAGCTGCGACAACCGCTGATCTTCCAAGGCTGGCCTCTTGGCCGCCCTCACTTCGTCCTGATCTTGTCCGCGATGCTTTCCCGGAGGCGGTATGGGGGCGGGAGACGGGTACGACGGCGTTGGAGAATGCGACGTCGTTCTTTACTTCTGGCTTTTGTTGCCAGAGCCTTACGGCATCCATCGCCGCGTGCGAAAGATTGGTCCCTCGCTTCCAAGCATCATCAGATGCTGCCAATTTCTCCACGAAGTCTAGGTCGGCGAACTGGCAGAACGCCCAAAGCACGCGATCGATCTCGATAGAGCTACGCTCGGCTTCAATCTTGTCGAAGGCTGCTTGCCGTTCTTGTGACCGCATACCGAATCGCTCTTCGTCGCTCTCCGGTCGTACGCTCGTCCATCCAAAGTTTGTGGCGTCCATAGTAATGTGTATAGTGATCGTTAGAAAAGAATAAGCGGACTCGACTGTGCTGTGCAGAAAAGCTTGTGTCCTAAAATTGGGTACCAAAAAGATTAGCACTGACGAATGATTGAAAGCTCAATGAAATTGGAACGGTACCTTTTGTTTTGTTTCGCGAGCGAGAACCGGGCATTTTGGACACGCAGCGTACAATCAGTACCGGTAAGCAGATTAGGCCACCAGCGGACGTGTCGACGGCCTGTCGCATTGTTTCTATTCGTAGAGTGTTGTTGTGGTTGTAGACAGGTGAGTGCACGACCGGAAGGCTAGGGAAGTCATGCAATGACGCCATGACGACATCGCCCGAAAGGTAGCTGCGCCTGATACCTAGGTAGTAGTAACGACCCGCGAGTGGCCTGTTTCGTACGAAGAAGGCCTGGCACCTCAATAATAGGAAAAGACTTGATCAGGTTTGCAGGATACGTTAAGATAGGCACGTACAAAGTCGACAGTACAACGTCAACGTAGGCTCTAGGGTGTTAAGCTTTTTCCTGAATGAGGTGCTGGTGAGGCCTTGATTGGCGGACTTCTGACTCAAACTAGCCAGGGGTTCTCTTGGCTTTCCTTGAATGTATCAGATGGTTCCTATGTATGCAGGCGAACAGAAACAGGTCTTCTGCGTTCCAGTCTACTCTAAAGTATCTCCATAGGAGGAAATGAATGATGGGTTCATCGTATGCGCAGTTCTTGAACGCCGGACCAATCATCGTGTAGTTGGGATGATTACCAACCAGTCTGTTAAACCTGCGACGTCTCGTTTGTTTGATAGCATCTTCTCGACTGGATTGTCGATGTTGCGGAAGTTGTGACTGGCTCTTTTCGCTCTGCGTCATTGCAGTACCATGGGGGCCATCAACCATGCTCGTGACTGCCACCATCACTTGATTCCCGTCGCACAGGGATCCTCCTTCACTAAGTAGAAGCCAGTCGGATGGTCTGGTTCCCGCTGGTGCATAAGCGAACACGCGCCCCATATCGTCCAAGATCTCTACGTTCGGAGATTCAGAGTCGGATCCGTGTCTGGAACTTGGCGCTGAACAGTACAGGTGACGAATTGGTAAGTAATTTGATCTTGGTGTCTCCTTTTTGATGTGCCTGGTGTCAAGCAACTGGGTCCCATACCACACTTCTCGCGGATGGCCATCAAAGCTCTGATACCAAATTGTGACCTCATGCTGTCGAATTCGATCTGGATCGCAATAGTAGCTCCTATCACCCTCCGGGAGCCTGATTTCACGAGGGAAATCTGGGTAAGAAAATGGGATCGCGTTCAGTGGAATTCTCAGGCTACCATATCTCTTGGTTATCGCCTGTTGCACGGTCTGCTCCTCGATATTGACTTGGAACGTTTCCCATAGCCGACGAGGCCACTCAACGACCAAATTTGGAGATGGGCTTGCTAGATCATCCTGGAGATACAGCTGTAGCACCTGGATAGCGACTTGATACTTGTCTTTCCCATAGTCGGGAACAGGGGGTTTGTGTGATCCCCAATACACCAGGGCGGAAATGCCGAACAGCCTGTCTCGAACATCGGTACATTGGAAGTTCTTCATGATCTCCAACAGCTTTGCCAGTCGGCGGCTGTTTGGTATACAACAAGCAAGCGTCAGACAGCCGCGTTGTGAATATATAGCGTCAAAATCATCTCGACTTGGTAGACAAGATTTCTGTAGATCTGAGCACTCCCCAAGTTCGGAGGTTCCTTGGGGTATTGATGAGACTCCGCTGGTCAGAGAGCCCTCATAGATAGAGGAACTGACCCAAAATTCTACCAGCATGCTTACAGCTAGGAGATGGTCGAACGGACGTCTCTCATTTCCGCAGCATAGGGAGATAGTAGGCCCAAGTTGAAGCTCTTGCAAGATCCAGATCCTTGAGAAATATGGGCGCTTCATGAATTCGACGAACTCTGTTCCAATCACCCATCGATGATGATCACTGACCATAGATAAACACTGTCTCTTGAGTCTAAAGCTCTTCGGGATAGAATTGCGCATTACCCATGAGCGGGGATTTTCGACGACGCTCTCAAGGGTGAGTCTGTGTATGCTATCCAGAAGGTATTTATTATCATCGATGGTCCGGAAAAAGGATATGCTACCCTTCGTGTGAGGTCCAACACACGCCAACACATGTTTTGATCTTTGGTATATTTGACCCATCATTCCAACTTGATGACTCTTTTCCTGTGTGGTGTTTTGGTCGATACACAGAGCATCCATCCAGAAGTACCCGTTCGCCTTGGTCGAATACGCTTGTTCGAGTGTAAAGGCGCAATTCTGGCCTATAGCGAAGGCGCGCCCGTTGATCAAGATCTGACGGTTTGGGGTTGGTGAGCCCCAAGTGTACCTGAGACAGTGACGGGTCAGTATGAAGCAGGAAACCGGTCTGTTTGGGGGTGACATACGATAGAGCATAGTAATCGGGAGCCTTTACAACAGCCCAGGCAGTCAGAACGCAGACTATGTGACCATCTGAATCAATATCCTGGATTTGCAACAAACGTATGTGTGTGGTCGAATCTGGAAGTGGTTCGTGCTTGAATTCTGTGTATGATGGTCCTTCTTCCATAATATCTATGGTATATAGGAAACAGCCACTACACCGGTGAATGAGGAAACACTCGATTTGGTCGAGGCAGTGTCGCGCTTGTCCGTGTGGCGGGAGAAAACCAGGCGGTATTAAGCACAAGCGTATGTTCCAACGAAGAGGATAGCGCGCGTTTGACACAGAATGTGACCTGATCTTGACTCGGGAACGGTCGTTGAAGGTGTACCTTGGTATGTGGGAGGATTGCGATAGTTTTGAACGTGCGTTCCAGGCCGGTGAGAAAGTTCAGCCTGATGGGCTTGGCAATGTTGCGCAGGGCTGCGCAGCATGCGGAAGATACATGTTCCGCGACAATGGAGCTGCTTGGGGCTGAGGCTGTCGGCGAGGCTCATTCACGGGCGGTTGCACCCGCAGACCACGACAGATTAGGCCACCAACAGGTGTAACCTCATCGACCCACTGACTGAACGCGACATGTTCCATCTAAATCTAAGAGGGCAGGCGTGAAAGTCCCATGGTATCAAGTTGGTCCGTCGAGTGCTGTTATGTGGTGGTGGTGGTGGTGGTGGTGGTGGTGGTGGTTGATGTTGATATTGTTATCAAGAGGTGCCCAGGTTTGTCGAACAGTTCGCCGGCTAGGATCACAAGAGGCATGCGGTGATGCAGCAATATCGCCTGACGAGGCAGCAACGACCCACAGACCGCATGCACGACGACACGTCAATCTGAAAAAAAAAACAATCCAGACCTCACTACAGCCTAGATTGGCTGTAGGTTATCTACTTTGCAGGGCTTAGTCTTCTTCTTAGAGAAGGTGCGCGCATGGGAGATCAGTCACGAGCGTAACACAGGGTATCTTTTATACAATCTATCAGGACGAGTCGCCGAATGCCAGGATGCCAGTACGCCAGGATGCCAGTTCTATGCAACGGCGTAGTCCGACAAGGCTCAGGCACTAAAACCTCTCCACAACACCGAAGGAAATCTATACAATCGTACCAACAAGCTTACTTATGGCCAATGAATCCCATGTCAATACTTAGAAAGACCCAATATTCCCCTTACTATACATAGTCTGCCTCCTCTTATGATGCATCCCCTGCTGTCCCCTAACCCCATTACTCAGCCCAATCCCATCACCCAAAATTCCATTACCACCAACCTTGCCCTTCCGCACCGCCCGTCTCTTCGCCTCCCTCCTCTTCAGCTTCCCACTCCAATGCCTAATCTTGCGCAGTATGCGATCAGCCATGAGCACCAACAATGTGACAACCATGACCGGAACAGCAATGACCCAGAAAAAGGCATCAGAGTGGTGTTGCACGCCGTTGAAGCGCTCGAAGTTTTGTCCGAAATATCCGACGAGGAAAGTAAGCGGGAGGAAGAAGATGGTTACGGCGGTGAGTATCTTCATGGATTCGTTTTGGAAGGCTCCCATCATGTTGAAGATT